CTGAAATGCATCCCTTGTGTACATTAGGTTGTGAATGTTATTCAAATCAGAAAAACACAGTTTAAATAAAGCTGCACCAATTCAAAATCTGAAAAAATTCAAATATTTGTGAGAGGCTGAGTGACTCCAAAAGCTGTAAAAGAACTTTTCCACAACATCATATGAATTAGTTATCCACATGGAATTTTAGAACTTGACTAATACACTGAAGTTGTGCAATTAAATGCACATATTCTTACAATGAGGAAACTAAAAGCTAGGGAGATTACCTATGTAACTTTTAGCAAGGCTCATTGGCAGACCTCAGATCAGACACTACTAAAAACTCCCTGATGGGTGGGATAGGGAGGGTGGGAGGGAGGGAGATGCAAGAGGGAAGAGATGTGGGAACATATGTATATGTATAACTGATTCAGTTTGTTATGCAGACACTAACACACCATTGTAATGCAATTATACTCCAATAAAGATGTTAAAAACAAACAAAAAAACACATTAATTTCATATAGAAGCCCCCCAAAAAAAAAACTACCTGACTTTTTTTTTCACCACATCAGACTATTTCCCTTCATTTTACAATAAAAATTTTCCCTTCAAATTAATCATACAGAAATGTCTCTCAAGGTCTAATCTCAAAGCCATGTATATAAGAATTACCTCAGCCAGCTTGTTAAAAACAGTCTTAGGCTTTACCTGTAGCATACTAAATCAGAAAGTCTGAAACTGTTACCATAGTAAGCATGTGTGTAAGCATTTTGTAGGTAAAGTTTAAGAACTACTGCCTTTTGAAATATAAATCATTTGTTTACTCATAGTACTGCAATAAAAAGATCCCTGTTTGAGTTCACTTCATTTCCTCAGTGATTCTACAATTATCCCAAATTTCCTTTCACCATTTCAAATGAAAATCAGCTTGTATATTCATTGAATTAAAGATAAATACTCTGAAATTCTTAGTAAATTTGCCATAGTTGAATGCATATTACATGCCATTGATTAAGGCATCCTATGCAGTGTAACCAAGATTTTCAAACAATGTAAAAACTTTTAAAATCTGTGCTTTCTTATTTTTAACCATCATAATATTGAAGATTATAATTGCTTTTATTCTGAAGTTACAATTTCTTTATAGATAACTCAGTATATGAGGAATCTGACTCATGGTTAAAAACCTACCTGTGATTTTTTTCAGGCCTAATCATAGGCAGTTATCTGTCAGGCTACATGGGGGAAAGTTGACCTTTCCATGCCAGGCCTGGTGCACAGCAGACTCTGAAGGGAGTTGCAATTAAGGAAACAGGCCCCCTAGCCTGTCAGGCTTTCACATATTTCCATTTCTAGCCCAGGCATTCATTCCCAGGTCTCTACATCTGAAGCCATAGGCAAAGGTCTTCTTGGCACCTCCCAAGGCCTCCTTACTGGGGAGAAGGCAGAAACCGTAAACTCTGCCCCACTCTGACTCAGCACCCAGGACTTTTCCACTCCTGCCTCTTCCCCGTTACAACTCCCTATAGTCCATAAAACTGCTGGAGCCTTTTGTTCAGGGTTCCCTCAAAAGTAAGACGACCACCACCCACCACGTCTGCTCTAATCTACCTGACCCTTGATGGGTGTGCCATTCGATAGGGGACAATGGAATCGGCATTTCTTCGAGTTTCTTTATAATTCTTGCTTATACAATCATAGTAAGTAATGAAAGGCTTAATCCTTTCATTTATGGCTTGTTGCTTTAATTGGCGACTCTGACACCTGGAAGCTCAGTTCTTTCTCTCTCTGATCAGCTGAGCTCCTGACAGTACAGGGTCATATTCCTTTTTTTAAGAGATCATCCTCTTTGGCTTTGTTAATAAGAAGCACCAATTATTTGGCTCTAATTCTAGGACACTGATTTTCTCCTGCCCTGGGTACTCCTGGTTCTCAGGCCTTCAAACACTGATTGGAATCTGCACCATTGGCTCTCTGGCTCTCAGGCCTTCAAGCTACATCATAGGTTTTTCTGAATCTCCAGCTAGCAGTGGGCAGATGGTGGGACTTCTCAGCCTTCACAGTCAAGTGAGCCAATGCCATCTAATAAATCTCTTCAGATAGATAGACAGAGATCTCCTATTGGTTTTGTTTCTCTAGAAAACCCTGACTAATATAGATCCTTTAGTGATAATTCACCACAGACTGTTGCTAATGATATTTAGTACACCCAACCACTGCACATTAAACACTGACATTAAAAGTTTGCTTATCAGCAGTTCCCTGTTTCAGCCCCAATATGCAAAAAGCTGAAAATTGTTATTGCCATCTGTTATGAGCTGAACTGTATCCCCTCAAGATTCATATGTTGAAATTCTAACTCCCAGTACCTCAAAATGTGACTGTAGTTGGAGATACAGTAACTAGGTTAAAATGAGATCACTGGGCCCTAATCCAATATGACTGGCTAGTGTCCTTAAAAGAAGTGGAGATTACAGATAAACACAGAGGGAAGACCATGTGAAGACACAGGGATAAGACAGAGATGGCCATCTATGATCTGAGGAGGGAGCCCTCAGAAGAAACCAACCCTGTTGACACCTTGATCTAGCCTCCAGAACTGTGAGAAAATAAATTTCTGTTGCTTAAGCCACCAGTCTGTGGCGCTTTGTTACGGCTGCCACCATCCTTACAGTAAGAGGAAGTTGGACAAACTGAAACTCAACAACTCTTCTCCAACCTATCAAAAAAATTGACATTGTAGGGAAAACTGCAACTTGAAATCTAGAAAGCTAGAGGACTCCAGAGTCAGGGCTGAGATCTGCTTACACAGAGCAAAAACTGTTAGAGCCCTAAACTAGCAGAAATACTGACATGGCAATTTTGCCAAATTGCCTGAGGCTTAGTGTGGCCTACAGCGACAATGAGAAACTCTCGGGAGCCACAGTCTTAGCCCTCTTACCACACACACACTTAGTTCCCCAAACACACACTTTCCTGGGCTTCACAGTCAGAAACTGCCCAGGTTTGCAAGTGTGGGCTGTGCATACTGGCTTCCTTCCAAAGAGTACACTGTAGAAAGGGGCAAAAATGAGACACTTTACAGTAAAGAAACTTAACAAAACCATCTCAGCAAGATAATTAACATCAACAGTGATGCCATGCTAAGAGTATATACCTTTGACACATAGTGGTGAGAATGGCGCTTTACCTGTGTGGCTTTCTCCCAAAAATCCATGACCTGAGTCTAATCATGAAAAAAAAAAGAAAGAAAAGAAAAAGAGACAAATGCCAATTGAGGGACATTCTATAAAATTTCTGGTCAGTAATCCTCAAAACTGTAGAAATCACCGAAAAAGAGGAAAGTCTGAGAAAATATCACAGCCAAGAGGAGCCTAAGAAGACACAAGGACTAAATGCATTTTTATATCCTGAATGATATTATGGAATAGAAAAAAGAACACTGGAAAAAAATTAAGGAAATTAGAGTAAAATATAGACTTTAATTCATTTTTTAAAAGCTGCTTGCTTGATACTTGCTCAAGATTCTCTGTATTTTTAAATATCATATATTATTATATACGTTATTCTTTATATATATAATTCATCCTATAGGTAATATATATATAGATGTATGCACTTACACACGTACACACACATCAAAAATAAATCCAAAGGACCGTCGCCGGGCAGCCAGTGGTGGCTCAGGCGGCAGTGCTGGTCCCTCCTACAGCAGAGCCTCCAGAGAACGGAGACCACACAGACGTCAAAGAGTGAAAAAAGAACCTATTCCTGCCATGACCATATCACCACAGTGCAACAGGCACCTCTAGGTCAACACCAACTTGCAATAAAAACTGTAACGCAAAGCAGGACTCACGTGGCGCCAGCCTCCAAGCGAACACTGCGATGGCGAGTCCTCTTCACGTGCTGGCAACACACGCCTAGCGGCCGCCCCCACCAACCGCCAGGACCGCGACCCGTTGGAGCAGCTCTAGGAGCTGAAGCGGGTCGAGAGCGCGTGGTCATTGCCCTGAGTGTGGACACAGGCTGGAAGCCGCACGGGCGGAGGGCACCCAGAACCGACTGCCGGGAGAGCTCTTCTTACTTGAATATCAACTCCAAGGCGCCCACAGGAAACACTGCCTCTCGCGAGACTTGGAGCGCGTCTTCTCAGTGGGTAGACGGCCCTGCGCCTGCGCTTCACACACCTCAGCACAGAAAACGCAAAACCCAGGCAGCCTTAAAACTCTTTAAAGACAGAAGTCGCTCTTGAGCAAAACCACCCGCGACAAAGGCAGGCTTGGGCTCCGATAGGGTCTCCCCATCCAGCACTCGGGTTCCCGTCAGAGTGAAGCCTCCTGGTGCTTCCGGGGAGGACGCGCCTGATGCCCGCGGACCTGCCGCTGGGCCCTAGCGGAGCCACTGCCACCCGGGGCTGAGGCTGAAACAGTACTTTGTTGCTCCCATGTGGAATTAGAGTATTTTGAGGTGTACTTTCTTTACAAAACAATGGGGTCTTTGACATTTCAGGTCACTCCATTTCTCCTCTGGAAATTTCGGAATCATAAGGATCCTTTTGTGTGGATTTCAGTTGAGGAGAAAGAACAATGTAGTTTTCTTTGTTTGGGTTGGTTGTTTTCAGCCGGTGGAATGATTTACTTCTGTTTGTCCAGATAAAGTCAGATGGAGCTACTTGGTGACGTCGGCAAATTTTCCGGTTAGAGCAGTTGCCTGATGAATTTAATCCACCTCCACTTCCGAGTGTAGGACAGTCGGACAGACAGACACCCTCGGGCTGCGTGTAACCCTGACGGAAAGTGCTTGCTTCCGGACGCCTGGTGCTGCACTTAACTGCATAATTTTACGCTCTAAGTAAAACAAGTCTCCTACGTATTGTGTATGTTTACAAGGACAGAACTAATGCTACTTCATTTGGGGGGAAAAGAGTCAATCTGTTATCACACACCAGACAAATGTCACAGATCTCTCCTTGGCATGTTCGTATTTTAGGTGCCAGCCGTCACCAGCTCTAGGCATCCTCTGAGCAGCTGGCTCGGATTGATGCTGCTGGATGATGTTGCAGTTTGTCCCACTCGCGGCAGGAGCAGCTGCTGGGATGGAGCGCAAGCTGCCTGTTCCTACAAGGATCGTAGAAGGAAGCACCCTTCGGGTAAGCTCTGGAAACACCTAGGTCGTTTCCTGACTTGTAATAGGAAATTCCCCTCAACCTTTCAGAACTGAATCCAGTACTAAGGCTGCCTTCTCTCCTACAAAAAATAAAAAGCAGAGGAAAAGGAAACAAAGGTGAGGTTGAAAAGTAGGAGGTGTCGCCTGGCCTCAGCCCATGCTCCTCCGGAAAACCACTCACTTTTGTAGTGTGTTCCGGGAATCATGACTGAGCAGCCATGCTAATAGAAAGAGAACTTTGGCCTTATTGTGAATTTTAAATGTAATCATTATAACATTATTTATTTAAAGGTAGTTGCTTTGGTATTTAATTTTTTTAAAGAGAGGAAAAGCTCTTTATTTTCCTGGTGGAATGAAATGACTCAGAATGGTATATTTAGGCAATTTTAAAACATGTATTATTTACCTAAAGACAAATTTAATAAATCTGTTCTACGTATCGTGTGCCAATCCACGGTATGGAGCTATCACAGTATTATTGCAGATAATGCATATTAAAATTATGAAATTACTGCAAAAATAAATAAATCGAATAAATCCAAACAGTACAAAAATATATAATGTGTATAAAAATAGATTTCATCCCTTCCCGTCCTGCTCCTATTCTCACTATTTATAGTGTTTTGTGTATCTCCAGCATTTTCATACAAGGATTTATGTCTATGTCTTTTAAAATTTTTAATCAGTTTGTACTATACATATAGTTTTGAAACTTGGTTTAATTTGCTTAAAAATAAAAAATAAATTTGTTTACTTGTCATTACACTAGTTACTGAGTGTATGCAGGATGAAGGATATGTCTTTTTCATTTTTGTAAAATTAACTCTTACAACAGTGTTTGGCATATAGTAGGCAATCAGTAGATATTTGTTGAACGTAAGTAAATGGGTAATTTAAATTTCTCAAGCATAACTCACCCACTGATCATTTAAATTACATTGTGAGAGATGCTAACTTATCTTGAAGCTGAAAATGGTAAATTAGAACTTTTCAAAACAGAAAGAGGGCATTTATGTGAACTTGTTAGGCTTTTTTGGGGGGTATATTTCAATTTTTTAGAGTTCAATATCTGGAAACATAAATGAGATAAATTAACCACAGAGTAAATGAGAACTCTGAAACAGTTGGCTCATTTTTTTCACTTTTGCATTATTTTCTGGGGAGTACATTTTATGCTACATGCAGAAAAGGAAAACAGGGATTTTTAAAAATAGTATTTAGGTATAATCCTTACATTTTAAAAAAATCTAGGTGTAATTCCATGGAATATGAAAATTTAGCATACTCATAACATTTCTACAATTTCCCAGTGCACTCATATTCATATGGTTTTCTCAAGCTTCTTGATATGAGTGTGTTCTGCCTGTTGCATAGAATATACCCAGATGTGAAATTCAACACCTGCTTCATATTTCACAAAACATCAATGCCTTCACTACATAGGAACGAATGGCAGAATTTAAAGAAGATATCAAGTGGCAATGGGAGGCAGGTTTATGTGGTATCTGCAAATGTCTTGAAATGTGAACTGAAGTTGTTAGAGTAGGCAGCTAGCTAGATATGAGCAGAGAAGGGGGGATAGGCCAAATGGCAGGAAACCATACACCTTGTGAACAACGGAGATCCTTCAGCAGAAAAAAAAGCAGGAACCTCCAGACTGACAGGAAACCAAACATTTTGGGGTGACAAGTGTCCTAGAGGAAAGAAAGTTGGGAAAAGGCAGGAATCTCTGGCATCCAAATGTAACCTTTTGCTCCTTGTGCCCTCATTACAATAAAATTAGCCTTGCAGATAAGAAGTTCCCATCATGCACCAACCTACAGCATGACACTAACCATCAAAGCTAAATAAGGGGCTTCCCTGGTGGCGCAGTGGTTGAGAATCCGCCTGCCAATGCAGGGGACATGGGTTCGTGCCCGGTCTGGGAAGATCCCACATGCCGCCGAGCGGCTAGGCCCGTGAGCCATGGCCGCTGAGCCTGCGCGTCCGGAGCCTGTGCTCCACAACGGGAGAGGCCACAACAGTGAGAGGCCCGCATACCGCAAAAAAAAAAAAAAAAAAAAAAGCTAAATAAGGACAAAAATCCCTTCTCCCCTTTGTTACTCTCTGGCAACAAAGTCATCATGATTCATAAAATGTCTCTTGGCTTTTGCATTCAGTGCATTGAGTGGGAAGGAGAGGAAAGTTTTTTCAGCTTCCCTCAGTCTTGCTTCCTCTTCCACCCAACAAAAACTTCATTCTTTGGGTAAAACACATTTCTCTCTTGCGTGCAAATCAGCCACATACATTTCTCTTTCAACTGGCCCCCTGTCAACATAGGTTTTGAGGTCCTTCCTAGCTCAAGGTACTTTTTTTTTTTTTCAAGTAAAGAAAGTTTCCTAATTGAGAGGCACTGTGCCAGTTGTTAAAATAATTATAATAAAACTATCACTGCATCATTATACCAAAAACAAGAGAGGCATAAGGTAATGTTAATTTAGGGAAAAATTCAAGAAGTAAATAGAGACATTCTAACTATAATCAGTGTAAAAGTGTTCCAGTTGCATCTTGTTTTATTTGATAGAAGCATAATCATAAACAGAAATTCTAGAACTAAACCAATAAAAGGGAGAATGCTCTAACAAAGATATTGAGCCAAAAACAGAATGGGTTGTCTTGAGAAGTAGTAAACTCTCCATAATTTTTACCTTTCAAGAAAAGGCTGGTGACACTTGAGGAAGTAATTAAGTATTTCTACTTCGGAGAGAGAATAGATTAGATGAGTTATGTCTTTTCCACTTATGTGAAGATATGATTCAGAGACAGGTGTATTTTGTTGTTGTTTAAATCTAGAAATCCTCCTTTTAATTAATCTGTAAATTGTTAAACACCAGTGCTGAATAGGAAATTATATGAAGTAAAATGTGTAAAAATACTAAAGGCCGTTGACATAGTGCACATTCATCTGAGTCTACTTGCAAACTTCTGGCATTTAGGGGACATCTATGATATGTTTTTTTGTTTGTTTGTTTGTTTTTAACTTACACTATTTCACTCCATTGAATATCTGGGAATATGGTCCTAATAGCATTGTTTAAGGACAGTGAAAGGAGAGGATTAGTTCAAACAGGAGACTATCTCAGAAGCTATATGGTTATAGTGGATAAAATATTATAGTGGAATAGGGGTACATTTAAGAAGGAAGATAAGAGTGAACCAGGTAGAATTAAGAACAGTGGAATCAAGAGGGCTCAGTCCAATGCACGTTGAGACTCTCACATAATAAAGCCTTTTATAGCTTTCTTGATTTGGTCCAAAAAAACATTTGCCTTTGGAGGGAAAGCAATTAAAATCATACTTTTCTAGAGCTGTCTTGATATTTTTTAATTGAGGTATACTTGACATATAATTTATATTAGTTTCAGGTGTATAACATAATGATTCAATATTTTTATATATTGCAAACTATCACATTAGGTCTAGTTGGGTTTTTTTTGGTTTAATAAATGTCATACATAGATAAATAAATTAAAGATCCTTCAGAACTGCAGTCCTAATTGACATCTTCCAAAGTGACATTGAATTGATAATGGCTCTAATGACCCTTTTCACTCAAGGTCCAACTCTAAAACCCTGACTGCAAGATCCTGCCTTTGTCCTCTCTTTGTAAGTAGAAATTCATCCTTCCCCATCTTGAATCAGCTTTCTGATGACAGCTCTGCCTTGTCTGAGCATTGCTTGGTAAGCAAAACACCGCATTTGATTAAGAAAAAGAAAATGCCTTTCTGCGTTTAATGTAAAAGCAAAAGTTAAATTTCAAACTCCACCTAAATATTCAATGTTAAGAATGTACTTTTTAACATCTTTTAGATATTTAATGGCCATCATGTGTCAATATTTTTCCCAAATGTTGCATTTTGTGTTTCTTTTATTGCATTTTCAATCTATGAATATTTTTTATATTCCTATTTTCCTGAAGAATCGTACCTCTAAATAATTTTAAATACCTATAGACAAGCATTAATACATATTTATAAATATATAAAGCCCAACATTCATATCTTAGCACTTTCAAAACCTGCCAACTGTTGGTGAATGTGTGTTTTATTCAGTCAGCCTTGTCGCTTTCTTGTTTTATGCCCAAGGCTTAGCGATTGGAGTTTCAAAACATCAAGCTTTAATGTTTTTGACTGACATGAAATTTTTCTGTAAAGATTTTCTTATGCCAACTTTACCTTTTCTCATATTTTCCATTGTTCATAATCACAAAGCTATATGTCTTTGTGAATTAATAAATAGTGCCATTTATTTAAACCCCAGTACGGAGTAGGATATTTTTCAAAGCAGAGGGGAAGAAAAGCTTTGCTTAATGTATGTAGACTGTTTAACAGTCTTTTTTTCTTTGCTAATAAATGTAAATGTGAAAAGATAATGCAAGACATTAGACATGCAAAGGAAGAGTTGACTACAAAGAACTACTAGTGTATCTATAATTAAGTTTAAGAAGAGCTTCTGTTTTCACTGCTTTATGACTGCTATTCAAGTCAACAAAAGCTTCATATTAAAAAAAAGAATATGATTTTCTTTCACTTTTTTTTTTTTTTTTTTTTTTTGCGGTACGCGGGCCTCTCACTGTTGTGGCCTCTCCCGTTGTGGAGCACAGGCTCCGGACACGCAGGCTCAGCGGCCATGGCTCACGGGCCTAGCCGCTCGGCGGCATGTGGGATCTTCCCGGACCAGGGCACGAACCCGTGTCTCCTGCATCGGCAGGCGGACTCTCAACCACTGCACCACTGGGGAAGCCCTTCACTTCCACTTTTTGTTAAGAAACTTAAAGGGAAAGGAGAATAAATTTTTAAAATCTAGTCCCTATTATCAGATACCAGAGTGGAGATTGGTCATGAAATATGATTATGTTAATACATACTGGCTTTGTTGGGTATCACATAATCCTGACGAAGACCACTAGACTTTGAATCAGGAACTCTTCATTCTAATCCAGGT